TTTTCAACCGTTCCATCGTTTTTCTTATTTTTTTTATTTGATTATAGCTTGAAACTACACAGTATTTTTGGTACAAGTATGGGATTTTCAGCATGTGATATCGGTAGCCCAAATTTTGCAGGCCGACCATTGATATTAGGTGTGCGTTGGCAGGGGATCAACCCCGGACCATGTGCATGGTCGACGAGAGTCCTAACCGCTGTGCCACCGACGCACATTTAGGTCCAGGAAATTGAACTCGTCGTCGTGTTCATGGTGAATTTGATGTTTGGGTGGATCTCAATAAGGCGGTGAAACAATGCAGATTCCTGAATTATGTCGTTACAAACAAAAAACATATTACCGACATATCGACGATAGTATGTTGTTTCATTGATAGCGTCCCTCAGTCGCGTCTGTTCTAGATAACCCATGAAGATGTCGGTTAGAATAGTTCCTAGAGGTGAACCCATGGCGACCCCATCAATTTGTCGGTAGAATTGATTGTTGAATTTGAATTGGATGTCTTTTGTTTTTCCGGTAATAGAAATAGTTTAGTAATTTGATAGGATATACATTGATGGTGACTTAAACTAAACATTGTAATGCTTATATTTTGGATTCATTCATCTTATAATGTTTTCTCTATTACCTATCAAACATTGAAGTGCGCTATTGTCATTATTTATAACGAATTGTAATTCCAAGTGGTTTGCAGTTAGCTGATGAGGGGAACCCGTGAAATAGAATAATGATGATATCACATTTTATACTGCAAATTTGGTCTTTCTTTCTCTATCGAAACGAAATTCTCCTCTCCTATTTTTTTCCATTCTTTTGCGTCCCATGTGGAGCATGTGGCTTCATGCTTGAACACCTTGTAGTTTCAGTAGCGTTGGTGTTTTATTTTACGAGATGAGGTGGTTGCTAGCCACACACAACCTACCCTCTCTGCCTTCCCAAATTGGCGTACAAATGACTTAAGTGAGGTTTAGGAGTATGTCGGTTGAGTAAACGATGCCGGACCACATGAAGTGTGGGTGGCGGTCAGAATTCTACCATTGAAACACCGATGATAAATGTACCAAGATAATATGAGTCCATTTTTTTATTGTTTCGAGGATTCTTGTCTACCGCCCACAACCTAAACAATACAAAAATATAAATTAAATCAAATAGATGAACACACTTTTTTTCTCGATAGCAAGGAGTAATTAACAGGAACTAGAGGTGACAACACTCCGGAACGATGTAAGTTTTTAAATTATCAAGAAGTAGATAGAATAGACAATTTTGATTGGACAATAATTCGTAGCTTGTATCACGTGTCTAGTTCTTGGTGTTTATGCAGACTGAATTCCATCAGTCAAGTCTGCGACGTACACAAGTGTATAGAAAATCAACGCACACAGATCAAATATTCAACTATACTAGCAATAATTCAATTACTCACAAACGAAACTGTGTGCAGACATTGTTTAAAGGAGTTCAAACACACTGTAGCACTCCAGAGTTGAAAAGAATGGAAGAAAAGTACCTACAAACAGTCTTCAAAAAGAATGGTTATCCACAAAATTTCATCAAAAAGTGTTTAAAGTCGAATCAAAACACCAACAAAGAACTATCATCAAAGACCACAAGGAAATTCATTCTACCATACATGAGAAATATCTCTGAAATAACAGCTAGAATACTGAAACCGTTAGATATAGATATAGCACACAAGCCAGTCAAATCGCTTAATTCGATGCTATGCAAACCAAAAGGTCCAACAGAAAAAGGGGATAAAATTAATACCATTTACAGAATAAATTGTATGAAGTGCAACAAGCATTACATCGGCCAAAGTGGGCGTCCCCTTCAAATCAGCCGTGAAAAGACACGATATGTATCCTTTAGTATCAATGCATATAGACAATTATGGTCATCAATTTGATTGGGATAATGTCAAAATATTAGACAGAGGAAACACCAACAGTGCCAGGGAATTCCTAGAAGCCTGGTACTCAAACGAATATGCAACTAACAAACACGTTAATATAGACGAAATATACCAACTAATAAAAAGTAAATCAGGTGACCAGAAGGTTTAAAATCCAAGTCAATAGAAAATGGTCAATACATATGTAAAGATGGTTACCAGGAGACGCAAGTATATCATTCATGAAGAAATTTAAATAATTTCACTTTATGCTAAATACTGCGCTGAAGATGTTGTCCAGAAGGACGATGAAAGCTCCACAACTAAACCAACCAGCTCAGAGAACACTATTAATTGCAAGTCTGCAACGTGGTCACAATGCTAGGTGGCTGGCCGCCATCACCGTTCACTCGGAATTGTTGTTATTAGATGGTTGATGGTAATCATCAGGAACCTCTAATACTAAGTTTCGAGCTTCTTGACACTCACCATTCAGCAAGGCTTATCCACAATCTTGAAGAGACTCATGTCCCTTCTGAGATTTGAACCTGTATCATCCAGTGCTACAGTCAGAAACGTTGCCACTGAGCGATTGACACTCCCGAATGACCTCCTGTAGGACTGTATAGGATACTTTGATTGGACACTAGAATTCAGTCTGCAACAAACAAAGGACTAGACACATCACTGTCGTTACTAGTGTCTAATCAAGGGTTATAGACATTTTAAATACCATTCGAGATCATATGTAATTTCATGATGGAGTATTTTGCTATTCCGGGCTTTAAATAGGCCGCATAGATCATTCCTTCCTTTGGGTCAATACATTTTAAAAACAGTCCATGAGTATATAGTTTGTGGACGTTGTCAGGCTGATATTGGTGAATTTTGGACCCCATGGACAAGGCTTCCATCTGTGATGAATAAGTTAAAGATATTACTGAAGCGTAGTTGAACAAAAGTTTTGTAGAATTGTCATGAAATTCCCTATGAGGTTTGATCTGTTTCAGACTCTAAGTGAACTAGATTGTAGCAACTGGCGCATGCCTAACCATCGCCTCCCCCGACGGACGGGCATTACTAGCTGATATAGGTGCAAGTTGGAAAAGAGTAAGTGGCCAAACAAAAACGTGGCATCAATCCATGAAATCCTTGACAGTTAAACTGAGTCAGGTAGGGAGATGCAGACTCCCGGGTTGGGGCCCTTGGGGCTCTAAGAATCAATGGTTGGAGACAATAGATGACATGGCTCAAAATCGTTGTCAATGGCGTAGATGTATTCAGTCTCTGTAATCTTTCATATTCCTTTCTACCATTACTCATTCTGTTTCACTCTTATACTTGTCAAAACTCTGTTGATTCTCTTCACTCATCTTCTTGTCTACCTTTGTGTGGTATTTGGAACGTGGCAACTCGAACTGCAGCATTTCGGTGCCAAGTTCTATGTTGAATCCAGACAGACAGAGCTGGCAGCTGACAACGAACAGCCGCAATATGTTATAGCCCAGCTCACTAAGAGTCTGAAACCGACCAAACCTTACAGTAAATTTTCTTGACGGCCTTACAAAACTTGTGTTGAACGACTCTTCAACAATAGCTTTATGTGATTTTCAGCTGGAAGCCGTGTCCATGGGTCCGAAATCCTGCAATATCAACCATACGAATTATCTAATGCCAATTTCTGATGGCGAATTACAGCGGTTCAAATCAACTTCTCATGTCACTACATAGGTAACTTTGTCACCTTAAAATACTGGTAAACTCTATAGATCACTGTTTGTGATTCGTCCTTCTATTTCTCTCTCTCTTCTTAATTCTCATATATCTAGTATCTTCTTGTAATGACCAAGCAGAATTACAATCTTTTAGCTTGAAATCACGTCATTAATCTTATCTGCTTAAATATGACTTTTCAATGTACTTACGTGACTTCCAATAATAATAATGAGCCTCATAATTAATTAAATACCACCATTACCCCCCCCCCACACACACACACATAGTTTGCAAGGAATTACTAAGTCATACTTCATACGACCAACAGTTGTATATACAAATTAATCACTAGTTCGTGTCATACAATAATTTATGAAAATACAAGTTTTTGAAAGGTAGCTTAGTTGCATAAGTACATAAGAAATTCATGAAGTCCTTCCAAAAATTATTTAGTAGTATTGTAACAACAGAAGACAAGGGCCAGGCAACAGAACGTTTATTACAGAAAATCAACACATATTTATAGACTTTGACGTACATTATTGTAGGTTAATGTTAGTAGAAAATACAGTCTGTTGATTGGTTGTTTCTCACACAAAGTTAACCTTGCATCTCCTGTGGCTGTGTCAGTTTATCTATATGTTAACTGTATCCGCCTGTCCATCTTGACCTTGTTTTCACATGACTAACATTGACCTCAATTACTGTCAACCAATTTGGCTAGCAACCATCTCTCACCACAGTATATGTAGTCATTCAGGCTGATAAGTACGTCATTTTGAATCTGGTATCTCCATTTTGCACTCATACTGTGTATAGTTTTCTAGTATGCTGAGCCTCTCCGAGCTGAGGATGTGTGGCGACTCTGCGTATTCGATCATCGCTGTCTCTGCAGGATTACTTACATCCGATTGTATCATCTTGCGAGTGATCCTGAGATCCAGTGTGTGTAGAAACACTGGCCTCGGTGGCTTCGGCAAATTTCACGAAAATAATCCCAGAGGCTTCCGTACTAGTCTCTGTTCGCTAGCTCCGGGACTGGACGGGAAAAGCAAGGGGTTAGATTAGCATCAGTTGTTATATCATAGTTTCCTATCTGGAGTTCGAAACATAGTTCTAGTCAGTGGCTTGCAATGTTTACAGATATGGCCAAGAATCACAGTCATTATTGGCGAACATCCTGCAATTTCCTTCTTTCTTTTCCTTCTAAAAGTAACACATGAAGTGATGCATGTTGAATGCTGTTGACAAATATGCGTGCTTGTTTGCTTGCTTGCCTTCTGAATGACGTCCATCATTCATTCCCTAATTTCTTTATATATTGTTGTGTCCTTAAGATCAAAATACATTCCTTAATATTTGTTATTTTATTTTATTTTAAAAGGTTAAAAGGTTCCTTCATGTATCGATATTCTAAAAAGTTACACAGGATGGATTATGAAAAGATTATTCAGTTTGCAGTTACTGATTATGCACTTCATACGAAAGCTTCAATCCCGCGTCCACGTATGCTATTGTAAGTATTTCAATATTCATTTAATTATATTATTTAACTTTTATGACGCTTATTCCTGCCTGTCAAATAGGATCATCTTTGTGATGCTTTTTTGTCTTCTTAAAATCAAAACGTATCAGTCAGACTTCCTTGACCTTGCCTTCAAAGCCTCAGGATGGTCGGGGGTGGGTGCCTTGCGCTGCGGGTTGGCCACCCCTCCGCACACCTCTTGAAATGCTCCCATATGACCGGGCGTCTTACATAGCCTCTCCTGAAGAAGTCCTACTCACTGCCTTCACGTGGCGGAGGTGTTTTTCACCAAAGTTAGAGGGCGAAAGCGGATGCCCGGCGCTCATCACCGGGTTGACTGTCCATTGGATGACAGTCTAGGGGAGATGGCTAAACCCTGATTCCAAACCTCCAACGACTGGCGTATGAAGCTCACTGGAGCTCACCGGCAGACGTATGGACAAAGGGCTTGTTGGATGTCCTGGATGTCTGGCCCCATTCAAAAAGGCGTATGAACCGAACTCCGGTCACCGGCTGCCAATGGATAGTGGACTCCCTACTCCACACTTGGTGTGTAAAGGCTAGAGCTGCACCCTCAAACAAAAGGCCGAGCGATTCTGGGGACATCACTCGTACCAAATTCCCATGAAACTTCATGAACTCTCTTCAGATCGCCGCGCCTGGGCAGAGATGATTCGAGATGTTCATGAAGCCGTCTCATCCTCCCGTAGGAGATAGCCGAAGTAAAGTCAAAAGTCTTGACCTTATATCATCCTGTGAACATTGTTATTTCATATTCTATCGTTAGTGTTAGTAAGATCCTCTTATACAATAGTATGGTTCAGAAAGGCTTGGTGCGCCTGTCACCAAAAGAATTTCTTCGTAGGGTCATCACGAAATTTACTGTGAAGCTTAATCACCTTGAAACTATTGTTAAGCTGGAACAGAGCTTAATGTGGCCTTTTCTTGGCAACTGTATTAACGTATTCCGTATATCTCTCACATTCATCGAGGAGGAGTAATCCGTATAAAGCTGAAGATCTTTGGGAAATATTCATTTGGAGTTCTGGAATTCATGTGTGATGATCGAATAGAGTCGGCATAATTCAATGCATGACGTCTAAGTGACTTGGTATTAGGATATACATAAATGATTCCGTCGCAATGCCTTCCAGAACTATTTTGGATATTAGTGATTAGTGACACAATCCTCAAAAAAAAAATCAATTTTCGCGTTCACTACAGCAAACTTGACAGATTACCGAAGAAACCCATTGAGTTCTTTGACTGTTGAGGTGTTCTTGCTACTTTTCAATTCACGAATAATACCCACCCAGACATCATTATTATCTGGATGGAGAATATTGATGAAAAAGAATTTCTAATAGCCAGCTGCGAACGTTTGCCCAACACCTGCATTCACTTAATACTGTAATTCAGGTGATAGGATAGGATAAGCGATAAGGTACCACTCAAGAATCTATTTCCAAAAAAATAAGCGGAAGGAAATTGAGATGGACTGGACACGTGCCACGCAGGCCCTTGAGTGTAAGAAACCTGAATGGAAGCTACCTAGGACGCGACATGGAGGAGGTCCATGTCGCATCCTAGGACGTCCCCATTTTTGTTTAACTTCATCATAGATATGCTAATGGAAGTATCCTTAACTGAACTTAACGACTTAGGAATCGACTTGTTACCAGGGAATAGTCTTATGGACTTAGAATATGCAAATGACATAGTCATGTTAGGGGAGGATGCTGACAAAATGCAGAGTCTTCTGAACGCCTTGAGCAGCAATCTTCGTATGTGTGGCATGCGATTCGCCCCTGTAAAATGTAAGATGCTACTACAGGACTGGACTACGTCAACTCCTAGCTTAGTGATAGGGAGTGAAGTGGTAGAACATGTTGACCACTTCACCTATTTGGGAAGTTGTATCAGCACCAACGGATTGATTGGTGACGAAATCTCATCACGGATCTAAAAAGCTCGGGCTGCTTTCGCTAACTTACACCATCTCTGGCGTAGGCGTGACATCCGGCTATCAACCAAGGGACGTGTTTACTGCTCAGCAGTTCACTCCGTCCTTCTCTCGGTCGGTCGGTCGGTTTTCGACATAGAACTTTGCACATATGTGCGGCAGTTCAAGTCGCCACAATCTATGTAGCACGCAAAGCAAGAGCAGGAAGTATGAGAAATGCATAATATAGACAGTAAACAGAGGTGTGAGACAAAGGAATAGTAATAACGGAGAACAAAAGTTTAATTGGAAATCATAAGTCACAAGGAGTGGATGCATCTGCGCCACTGAGAACGATTTTGAGCCATGTCACCAATTGTTTCCAACCATTGGTTTTTACCATCCCGAGGGCCCCAACCAGGAAGTCTACATCTTCCTACGTGGCTTAGATTAACTGTTGTGGATTTCATTGATTGGTGCCATGTTTTGGTTTGACCGCCGCTAGCTCTTTTCCAGCCTGATCCTATATCAGCTAACATTGCCCGTCAAGGAAGGCGATGACTAGGCATACGTAGCACATGTCCTAACCATCTAAGTCGAAGTAATTTCACAGTCTCGTCGATTGATTTCCCCGCCTTACCTAGCACTCGACGCCTAACCTCAATATTGCTCACCTTATTATACCACTTCACGCGGGAGATAGAACGCAGACACCTATGATCGAACACAGCTAATCTTTTCATGTCTTCTGCTCTCAATGGCCAGGTCTCACAGCCATAAAGGAGGACGGAGCGGACTGTTGAGCAGTACACACGCCCTTTGGTCGACAGTCGGATATCGCGTCTACGCCAGAGACGGCGAAAACTGGCGAATGCGAACCTAGCCCTCTGTATTCGTGCTGAAATTTCGTCGGAGATCAACCCGTTTGGGCTGATGGTACTTCCCAAGTAAGTGAAGCGGTCAACGTGTTCTACCACTTCACTTCCTATTTCTAATCTAGGGGTCGATGAAGTCCAATCCTGCAGCATCATCTTACATTTTATAGGGGCGAATCGCATGCCAAACATGCGGAGATTGTTGCTCAGGGTGTTCAGTAGACTCTGCATTTTGTCAGAGTCCTCGCCTAGAAGGACTATATCGTCCGCGTATTCTAAGTCAACGAGATTCTTCCCTGGTAGCAAGCCAATCCCTGACTCTCTGAAGTGAGTTAGGGTTAAGTCGATTAGTACGTTTATGATGAAATTGAATAGAAATGGGGATAATGGGCATCCTTGACGGACGCCACTAGTTGTCACCACTTCAGATGACAACTCGCCATAAGCCCTCACCTGGGCTTATGGCCGTCCTTCTCTACGGCTCTGAAACATGGCCAATACGAGTTGAAGACATGAAAAGGTTGACTGTTTTTGATCATAGATGTCTACGATCTCTTTCTCGCGTTAGGTGGTATAATAAGGTAAGTAATGTTGACGTTAGGCGTAGAGTGTTGGGCAAAGAGTGAAAATCAATCGAAGAGGCTATAAAGTTACATAGATTGAGATGGCTAGGTCACGTGCTGCGCATGCCTAACCATCGCCTCCCCCGACGGATGGGCATTACTAGCTGATATAGGTCCAGGTTGGAAAAGAGTAAGTGGTGGCCAAACAAAATCATGGTATCAATCAATGAAATCCTTGACAGTTAAACTGAGTCAGGTAGGGAGATGCAGACTTCCGGGTTGGGGCCCTCTGGACTCTAAGAATCAATGGCTGGAGACACTAGGTGACATGGTTCAAAATCGTTGTCAATGGCGTACGCAGATGTATTCAGTCTCTGTAATCTTTCATATTCCTTTCTACCATTACTCATTCTGTTTCACTCTTATGCTTGTCAAAACTCGATTGATTCTCTTCACACATTTTCTTGTCTACGTTTGTGTGCTTTTGGAACGTGGCAACTGGAACTGGTGCACTTCGGTGCCAAGTTCTATGTTGAATCCAGCCAACCAACATGGAGGAGGTCATCTGCACAGTAGTAGTAGTCTTCAAACCTGTTGAAAGTGATTACAGACAACTGAATGCAGTTAAACACCTGTATCGCTTGTATTTCAACGGGAGAAAACAAGAGACATGGTGACGGTATGTTTACTTGCAATCTGATATACACCTTGTAGGAGAATTATGTATACCATCATATACGAAATCCGTCATTTGCACAGATTTTCCATATTGTGTTAATTCTGCCCTTCGTGTACTGTGTTTCTTTGTCTTCTTTTCGTGTCTCCCATGTTGTGCTACAACAGTGGTTCATTTCCCTCTTTATTAGTTGGTGTGTTTTGTGCTGATGAACGTCTCTTTATATACTACTGATAGAGCTCGTCAGTAGCACAACTGATATGTTAATGATAAATGTAAAGAAGTCAACCCCTGAAATCGATCGACTCACTGTAGCCTAAACAAACTTACCTGAAAGTCTATATACGTATTATGTACTGTTCTTAGACTGATGGAAAGTATGAGGAATTCTTGTTTAATCTTAAAATCTTTGTCGAATAATTGCTTTCAAGTGTTGGTTTGTAGGGATTTGATTGGTTACAGGATTTTCGCTCACTGGCGACTTGCCCTATTCAGATAGGTAGTTACCTGGGGTTCTAGTGAGAAGTCGTGACTAGTAGGGTAGAGCAGGTCGAATGTGAGGACAATTACTTGCCGAAGACATTGGCTAGGGGTAGCGCTATGTCGTGAATTGGCAGAAGTTAGAATTCATGGGCTGTCCATTGGATCGGGTCCCAGTGGCTTAATGGTCTACGAGGTCGCTAGCCTTGTAACCAGAAGGTCCTGGGTTCGAACCCTGGCGGGGGATGCGTACTGGTGAAGAGTCCCAAACTAGGACGTGGGAAACAGCTGTCCAGTACTCCCAGGTTTTCCAGTGGTTCTCTAACTAATGTCAGCTCATGATGAAAACCAGGAACAATTGTTTGTCTGTTTTCTTCAGTTATTTTTGTTTATCATTCTTCTTTTGCATGTGTAAGCACAAACAAACCTCGTACAATTGTGGATGTCTAGAAGAGTATTTTAGGTGGCTGTTCTTCTCCCGTTATTTTCTAGACGGTGAATTTTTGTGATTTCACGTTTTTGCACAGGTTGATATCTATTAGAAAACAACTGAAAACCACCAGGAAGTACTGGGTAGCTGTTTTGTCCTAGTCTGGAACTCACTGGCGATACGCACCCACTGGGGGGAGGTCAAACTCAGGATCTCTCAGTTATTAGGCAAGCTTGTCGACTGTTGAAGCCTTATATTCCACTCGGTACCGAAGGGAATAATAATAATCTTTCTAATGGATAATCTCGTATTATTCGCCTTCTCCCACATATATAACTGAGGTTACTGATGTTCGAACTAACAATCTGAGACTGTCTCTATCCACAAAAAGTTCTCAGAGTTATTCATTATTCGCTTTCTGACTCTTCCATATTTGTGTGCCGGTGGTTCAGTGGTACACTACTCGCCAACCACTCCTTACGTCATCCAGAGTTCGAACTTTCTAAACCTCGCTTAGCTGCTAGTAATCCCGGTAAAGAGGGAAGATGTAAGTGTGAGGGAAGCAACTCCACCGCATAAAAGAGCAACATCGCTGGTGAAACTTTATAAGGCTTCATCTTGAAGCCCTATATTCCACTGAAAGCACAAAGGAATAAAAAATAAACTATTGCTATAGTCGCTCATAACCAGAATAGCTTATTAAACCGACTCATATTTCGTTGGTAGTGTGCTTAGCATTGTGCGGATTTAGAAAGAGAGTTTCCCAAATCCGAATAAAACAGTCTTACTTCTATGATTACATCACTGAATGATGTGGTGTTATCTTGAGTACTTACACAAGATTTGGGCGATATAATTCCTACTGGTTTTTTCCATTCATCATGTTAATCCTTTTATCTCAATAATGGGGACATACTTACATCAATTTTTAAAAACAATTTGTTTTCCAGTGATGAAATAGTCGATGGTCTTGTTGCGTACACCTTGGTAAGTAAAACGATTGTATTTATATTCATAGTCTTCTTTGGCAAAGTTAAACTTTAAGCACCACTAGCTACCAGTCAGCCAGTGGCCTCGAACGCACCAATCACGTGAAGGAGGCATTTTTGTGTATGGAACACATATATTTATGAAAAACAAATACATAAAAAACTGGATAGAAGTGTTACAAAGGATACTTTTCCCTCACATGTGATAAAAATAGCTCTCAGTTTTAGGTTGGAGTATCAACAGAGTATAATTCCAATCAAATCCCTACAAACCAACACTTGAAAATGTATTTCGATAAAGTCTCATACTGTTATATAGTAATATTTACTGAGCAATAAAATGTGCTCGAAACGCTGTCATCAGCAACTATTACGCCGTGAGACTTCATGAAAATAAATTTTACCCATAGTGGAATTATACTCTATCACAGTGCACAAGTTCTATTCTTATATCAACAGAGTAATTTAACCACATTCTATGCATGTAACTATTTAAGTCTTCTAACCCTAACAATAACCCTATTCTTTTCTGAACCTAACCCTATCGTGAAAATATGCTTAAACTAACTGTAATCTAACTGGAACCAACCCTATTGTCGCCTTTATTAGGTTAACCTAACCCTAACTTGTCCTTTGCTTAAAGCGTAACTTAATCTTTCCCAAAAAAAACCTAAGGTGAAACTTACCAGATATCCCATTTAATAGCATAAGACTTCGACGAGCATATTCTATTGATGAAGACAACATTATTTGCCAGGTCTGACTAGCTACTCAGTGAAGGTGTCAAGGTCATCGGTGCGGCCACACTCCATTGATAGCTAGTGGTGTTTAAAGTTTAACTTGGCCTCTTCTGTTTACCGTTTACCTTGATTTCTTAGATTAGAACTCAGAAGCTTGTTGAGTTAGGAATAGGAAGCTATGTTAGGTGTTTGGAGCCAATCGGCCACAGGAAGCTCTGCTTGAACCTAGGTATCGTGCTAGTGGGCACTCACCAGACAGCAAGACGTATCTGCAATCTTGGAAAACATTATGTCTCTTCTGAGGTCTGAACCCGTGTCACCTAGTGCTGCAGTCAGAAATGTTACCATAGATACGCATTACAGACGAGTGCCAACAAGCACGAAACCTAGGTCAAAGGCTTCCTGTGGCCAATCGCCTCAAAACCTCGTATATCAACAATTCAGAGTATATCATGATAGCTAGCCACCTAGTTTGATGGTGGCCACATTGCAAACTTGACTGATCGAACTCAGTCTGTAACAAACACATTACACAATCAAAGGAAGCTATGACAATAACATTAAGCATGCCATATTGACTCACCCATAATAGTGTTCACCTATAAACGCCTTACTTCTGTAACTTTTGTTTTAATAGAGATTATAAGGGTAGGAGTGAGTTCAAAAGGGAATAAGTGTTAGAATTTACCAGAAATCTTTTCGCTACAAAGTGAACAAAGTGTTTAAATCCGAGTAAATCAATATTTCTCGTTGTGAAACGAAAAAAAAGTAACAACCTTACTTCGTACGTTGGATTTCAGCGAATATAGTATTTTTCCTTTGTAGGGACGTAAGTTTATGTTTCACGAATCTAGATTTTTAAAAAGTTATTGACAGACTACTCAAAATTTTATCGATTTAAGTTGACACCCTTCAGGAGAGAAGCACATATACTCACATAGTGTTACAGTAGACAAAGATCGGTGGTAGAAAGATTATCTAGTGAAATTGTAGTAGCGAATTCTTAAAATGATTAAGAGTGAAAATATGTCAACCAGACAACTTATGTCTCTATCTGGATTGGATCGCAGTGTCTGAGGAAACTATGAACTCGCCTTGTACCCAGGTCTCCTTGGGTGCATACTGCTGAAGAAATAGTGGTCCAGTACTCCCTGATGGTATTCAATGGTCCTCTCTAAACTGATGTCACCTCGTAGTCAATCCTGACGTTTAATAGTCACAAACACTACGAGGTAGTGCCATGTTTTGGTCTAATCATTTTCTAATTCTTTGCCAATCTAATCCTACTTTATTTGAACATTTCACGTTGAAGAAAGCATAAAGAGACCGGCATACGTAAGATACATCCCCTACCACTTTGGTGCTTAAAAAATACGTCATCCTATGTACTGAGAGGTGACCTTGTTTGATCACTATTGTACGCTCTATAATCTATGGCATTTTTCTTCGAGTCTCATCGAAAATGTCTAAGCACACGGCACTTACGACCAGGAAGCGCATAGCTATTTCTTCTGCTTTCAGCAGCAGCAAGATTTCGCTGTCGTAAAGTTTAACAGATTGGATTATTGCTCTGAAAATACGCTCTCGCTGATAAGCTGGATATTTTGCTTGCTGTGAAAATGCCACAAATTGACAAGTATCAAACAACGAGCCATTTATTTCCACGCTGAGATTTTGAGTGTAGTGTGTGTGTGTGTATTACTAGGTCACATAGAATAGACCTCGTTAAATTAGTTACATAGAGAACCTGGATGATATTTTTCAAATTTGTTGTTAGGTGATAGCTTAATGCCTGAATCATACGGGGGCAGAAAAAGCTTCATTGTGAAGGGAAAATGAAAATTAATAATAGGATGAAAAGGATGTTGAAGGTAGTTAGTAGGACTAGTGGTGTAAAACTCAGTCAGCTCGTCACTACATTAGTTGAAAGGCATCTGAATACATGCGAAAAATTGTCTAAAACCATACTCTCCGACCCCCAACACCCCCCTATTCCCAACCTTCTCCTTGTATCTCATCAGGTAGAACCAGAAATCAGTATAAAATAATCTATGCTCGTACAACCAAGTACAGGAACTCAACGATACCGTACTTGACCCGTGTTCTAAGCGACAGAGACAATGTTAAGCACGAAACCTATGACTTGCTTTGTTGTTAATAACATAATTTTAGGCTCTTTTATTTCACTCATATTTTGTATTCTATAGTGAACACCTTCTTAAACATACTTAACTACCTAAATTATTAACATTGGCTTACTTTCTGTACTTTATTGTATTCCTTCATTTGTGTATCTACTGGTTCCGACTCTATTAGCACTATGAGTATTACAAAATTGTCCTGTCATTAATCATCATGTAATTATAAGATTTTGTGGTTGTTTTTTTTTGTTCGGCAATATTAATCATTGGTTGTGAACACCATTATCACCATCTTAAAATTTTGTATAATGCAGGATTACTCACACTACCACTACAAACACCGCATTAGAGCTGACAATAAAAAAACCCTGAAATGTTATTTTATGATTGTTTAGTGTTGTTCAATCAAATTAACTGATCATCTTGGCGATAAACATTCTTAAATATCGTTACATAACTTCTTGTATGGCTATAGCTTTACTGTCACCATGTATAAACATATCACAGCTTCCACTACCCAATACTGAGATATTATTTATTAATTTTCTTTTCGACTTCTTGGTATTTTTTCGAATTTTTTAAATTATTTTTGTGTTTGTTTTTGTTGTTGTTGCCTTTATATTTATTTTTTTGAAATATTCCTTTTTAAATGTTTGATAAAATTAGATGCAAATATTGTAGATATGTGCTGAGAATTCCACACTGTACCATTAGTGCTGTATCTGGAATAAAGCAAATTATTATTATTATTATTTATATAAGTGGTTGTGGTAGGATTGTGCATACTCCTAGTAGCTGGGAAATATTTTAAACATGTCATGTATTCTGATGTATAGTGTTAGTCAGAGAAATTTCAGTCATAAATGAGAACGTGCTATGATCAAATTAAGATCTGAGAGATAGATGCGTAGAACTATATACTGCTGATTGATTGATTGAGGCGAGCCCGACCGAAAGCTGCTACCTTGACGTGGTGGTTGGGCTTGAACACTGCAATGACCCAACAAGCTATACTGGCTGAGACATGTCGCTTGAGGTCCTACCATGCCAGAAAGGTTGTTTGGATAGCGGTTAGACAAAAAGCAGTTACCCAACCCAATGCTATGACTCAAAGTAAATCACAAAATATTATGCCGGATCGGTCGAGGCCCGGATTAAAAACGACCGTGCTTCCTGCTGCCGTGTCACAGGGCAGAAGTGATAAATACGCTACTGAGACACACCAAATAAAAAAGAACAAACAAAAACAGGCCGTGTGTGACCGGCCTCAAGCAGTTGTCCCCTGGGCTCTGCGGTCACGCAACCAACTTTCCACGGTGTGAGCAGCCGAGAAGTAACAATCGCCCTCACAATCCGAAGTGCACGCGAAACCTCTCTAATCCTCACTCTCCTTTGTCTTCATCTTCATCTCTATTATCTTGCCTTCCTTCTACTAATGCAACTCCTCTACTTGATGGCTCTTCACTTCCTCTTCACTCTGAGATTGAGGCGAGTAGCTGTATACTACCAACATCAACCAGTAGTGTTTTTTAGTCAGCAAGATAGAAGTGGTCTAAACGCCAGACAATTGTTTCTGTCGTCTAGGGCAGACCTCGTCAGTGGTGTGAGCGTTTCCACTCACCTTAGATAGCCGAATCAATTCAAACCAGCTGATTCCTGGCGAACTAGTAACATCAAATTTAATCAAATTCGCAATTTACGCAGTTTTTGAGGCGATCGAATTCCACCACAGTTTCATTTTGGAGAGCAAAATTATTCAGATCACCCTGTGTGATCTGAATTGATTGAGATAACTAGTTGTGCACACACACTCACATCAATCAGTAGTGCTTGCTAGCTTAGAGAATTTGACTTAGGGTGTTGTTACCAGTTCGCCAAAGTAGCTAGGCGGATATCGGGAGGTTTGAACTGATTCGACTTTCTGAGCTGAGTCGAACCGCCCGCCCACCGACTGAGATGGTTAGGACATGTGTTATGTATGCCTTGTCATCGCCTTCCTCGACGGGCAATGTTGGCTGATATAGGGTCAGGCTGGAAAAGAGCTAGCGGCGGTCAAACGAAAATATGGCACCAGTCAATGAAATCTACAACAGTTAGTCTAAGCCACGTGGGAAGAT